CACACTCCTCAGCATTGTCACCGTCTTTGTTCCGATTCTGCTCCGCCACAATGGCGTTTAATCGAGGCAGACGCATGAAAAGTGTACAGTAAGCGTGCGGCGTCGGCACTTTTTTGGAGTTGCGGAAATATCTGCCAGAAGGTTTCCGAACTCCGCGCGGAAGATGGAGAACGTGTTTGTTTCCCAAAAGAAACAAACGGAACAAAAAGCGGAGGAGCCGCGCGCTCTCCTCCACGCGGCTGGCTCCCAGCTCAATCCAGGCCGCTCCAGATGCTAGCTTTATCAGCGCATTATGTCTTAGCGGAGTGCTAATAATGCAAAGTCTTTATCTGCTTTCCGCCCCAGGCGCCGGAATGCACATGTCTTTTTTAAAAGATAAAAAAATAGCCATAAACAAAAATTGCCCACTGTCAATATAAATACTGATAGAGATTAGAGCTAGGAGCAAATATAATAATAAGAGGCATTCTTAAGATATACTTGACACAGCAAAGCCCTCGGTGGACAGCCACAGGCTTAAATAAACCAATTGAAGAAAGTTTTTAAGACCGATGGTATAATCTTTCAGTGGAAGAAAGTAGATTAAAAATAAGAGCAGTGCAGAGAAAATGAAGCGATCTGTGCTTGTTTCCCGGCTTTACCGGTTCTGTTCCGAGGCAGTGGGATACTCTCTGCCGGGTGTGCGGGGGTGGGAGGAAGAGGTGAGCTCCTCATCTGCTGCTCAGCACCAGCGGGACCCCAAACACACTCTCCTTCAGTCTGGCAAATGTCTCATAGATATTAGAATCATAGACATGTTTCAACCTGACGTAAAAGCTACAGTCTGCATCACACACACATCTATACAAATGCATATATCTATATACAGGAAGCATAAAAACCAATGGTTTATGACAGTTAATGGTGAGCTAAGGGGGGGGGGGGGGGCAGTTGGCTGCTGCCCCACAACAAATTCCCAGTTAGAGAAATTCCAGGACAAAGAACTGCTAACTTAATGTTTTTTTTGCACTTTTTTCAGTTGCAGAGGAGCATCTCAGTGCTTTCTTTTCTATATCATCTCAGCATCAGATAAATAAACTAGTATTTGTGGCGGAGAAATGAACCGTTTTTCATTAAAATGCACAAATATTGGAAACCTTGGGTTTGTCCAAGGTGGTAGATTTGAAAACAATGTGAGCTCCTAATTAAGTGCTGCTGAACCTCTAATAATAATAATAATAATGATAATAATGACTTCTCATTATGTCCTCTGAAATGCAGACCTTACTGAGACAGAATGGCTATAATATTGGTATGTTTTATGATCCAGCCTTTAAATGTGAGTCTTCTTTAGCCATCTTTAACCCAAAGACACAGCACTTATGAAAGAGGACATATAACTGCTTCTGGTCTCACCAGGTCCCCAAATTTAGCTTTCTGTGTAGCATCTTTCAGCCCAACGTTTTATATTTTTTGGAAAAACAATGATTCTGCAACCTTTAAAAAAGATGATAAATGACCCCACTGTGAGAATGGTATCCTCCAAACCATTTCCAAACCTCTGGATGAAACACACATCTGGCCCTGAACGCGTGTATTCGATGGGGAAGATGCTATTTTGAAAGCAGCTATTTTTGGTGCTTTTCCCTGATGTAACAGTAACAAAAACACCTGCTGCTCGCAGAGACGTGGAGTCCCTTTCAGCCTCACAGAAACACAGAGGGCCCGGGAAACACTTCCCAGCGCCGTCACAAATGCCGATCCGCCAAGGCTGCTCCAAAGAGACGCTTTCCTTTCAGCATTTCCCTGTTGTCTGGTTCCATCGTGTCACTTTGAGGGAATCTATTCAGAGGTATTCATGCATCTGCCTTAAGGCCACAATGGCCGCCACTTTATAGACTGTCAGCCTGCCCGCTTCAGGCCTTTGCCTCATATTGTTTCCTTTCTTTTCTAGAAACCTGGAGGAGTTCATCAACTCGCTCAATGGCAAAAGCGAGCACCAATTCACCGGCTCGCCTCCTTTTTTCTCTCCCTTTTTTTTTTTTTTGTGTTCACAACTGTTTTGTGTACCAGTCAGAAAAAAACTACATCTGACAGCAGCCAACTATGCCGTATTTTTCAGCGTTCATGCTTGTCTTTTTTAGCCACACGGACCACAAAAAACATTCAAACAAAGCTTTACGTTCAGATTTGAAATGTGTTCAATGTCTCTCATTAATCCGAGCTGACAAAAAAAAAATAAACAAACATGATGATCTTCTCTAAAAACAGAAAAGTATCTCCTCTGGACGATTTCCATTAGAAAGATATCTTGATAAAATTATACATATAAACATATATTTAAAAAAATATATAGAGTGAGAGAGAGATAGGTATATCTATTGTTTGAAGACGAATTATTGTCATTATTATTAACCAATACATTAACCATTATTATCATTATTTCTTATGATTATGATGTGTGTTTTTTTGTTTTCCTCTCATGACTGAAGCGTGTGTTCAGGATGTGGCTCCAGCAGGGATGGACACAGCCTATAAATATTAAGCCACCCCGGAATTGCTGGGTGTTATGCCCCCCCGATCTCTATATATTTAAGACCATTTTCCTCCCAATTACAATGGATGGCTGCTTTCTGTAAATGGAGTAATGAGAAAAAAAACATGAATAATCCATCGAACGGGCCAGATACACAGGACACTTTGAACAGGATTTCTCCATCTCCTCATAAATACTCACTCTCACAACCATTTCCACACTCTGCTAATATGAATAATCAGTTATGCACACTTCAGCTTTGTTTTCACAGCAGGTTTTGGAATCCCTTTCAAAGAATCCCCTCTCAAAAAATGGAAGCAAGCACAGAAAGTCGAACCTTATCTGGGAGCCTTTTCAGATACTCTAATAGGATGAAAAATCTTTAGTCAGACTCCTGGTAGAAATATTTATTTGCCTTCTGCTTATATGTTATTCACATGTTTGACTGACTAATTTTTCTTTCTTTTTTTGGTTGATTCTCTTTTTTTCTTACAGAATGAATGCTTTTATTTAGATTTTAAAAGGCAAGTGACAGCCAGAGAGCGCCGGTTGTGATGTAATCTGCAGCACAAACGGTTTCATCTGCAGGTTAATCAGAGGACAGATCAGTGGACTCTTAGAGCGGGCGTTAGAGTGTTTTTTCACTGGAGGAGGATTTGGTCGGCGGGCTGCTGTGGGCTGTGAGAGGGCTGAGGAGGAGAGGGGGACCGGCCTGTCAGGGGCTGCTAACAAACCAATTCAGACAGCCATCCCAGCCACAAAAAAAAACCCCAAAGGTTCAGGCGTAAAGCCGCAGAAAAGCCAGGGCTCATTCCCAGTCTCTCTCCAGGTGGACTGGAGGTCCAGGCTCTTCTTCTGGGGCTGCACAAGACTCAACAAGAGCTCAATTAAACACCAAACCAGCGCTGACAGTAGATTTGTTGTTGTCACATTGTTCCCGCTATTTGTTGTGGGTTTTTCTGTCCGCATTGTTCCGTGTGTATCCTTTACAAATGGGCTGTTAATGGGATGCCAGAGGCCTCCGACTCCCCCAACCCCGCTCGGCCCGTTTTGCTCTTTGTGCACCGTGCCTCTTTTGTGGAGTGATCAGCTTCCTATTGGGACAAGATTCTTGGCATTTGTCGGCTAAATGAAAGAGGGATTAAGGGATGGCCGCTGAACACTCCATGGCAAAGAAGTGGGCTGCTGTTCTCCGATTAAAGCTCCCACCCAGTTCACACTCCCCTATATTTGTTTTGGGGTTTTTTTTTACAGATACAATTTAAAAGTCCCACATCCTACCAAAAAAAATAATAAAGGAGAGCTTGTTTCCACTGAAAACTCCCCAGAAGGATTTTTGTTTTTAACTGGAGGTGTACAGGCAAAATCACAGCCTTCATTAGAGCGTCTGATTGGCCAGAGGAGGTTATAATATTCAGGTAAACAGACAGAGAAACAGGACGGCTGCTTACTTATTCTGCTGCTTTCTTATTTTCCAGTCAGCTTATGTGTAAAAACACACACACTGGCACACACATAACCCTAAGCCTTTGGGTTTGCGCCTCTCTTTTTATAGACCAATCCTTCTTGTTCATTTTTTTCCCCCTTTTTCATTTGCTGGGTCTACATATTGCTTTTCTTCACCCGGCTTCTCTGTGCCGTGTCAGTGACCCAGTTTCCACACAGCCATCTAAAGCCAGTCTGAAAAAACAAATATTCCACTCTTCATTTGACGCCAGGCGAGAGGCCCGAACAAGGCCAAGGAATTGTTTTCCATTAAACATTAAACAGGTAAAGAGGGATTAGGATTAAACTCCACCCTTACAGAAAGTGTCCATGTTTTATCTCTGTGCTATAAAAGCAGATTCAATCATTCATGTGGAGAAATGCAGCCACAGAGTGTCATTTGGGGTTAAAAAATAAATTTAAATTAAAAATCACCCCAAAAAACATAATAATATGATTGACTAGTAATTTTTAAAAATGTATTTTCAGACAGAGCCTTTCTTTGATATTTCTGTGACGTTCAGTTTAGTTCTGATTCTTTCAATTTAAATGACTGTACATGTGTGTTTAGACTGGAGTTTTAGATTAGCTTTATTTTAGGGAATCTATTTAATTTTGACATTTATGTTAAGTATTTTTCATAAATCTCTCCATCTTTAGTTGATGCATTCAAATGTTTTTTTAAAACATTGATTTATACTATAAATGCTGTATTTCACTAAATTCAATTCTTAACTGTGCTGCAGATTTAAGGCGTATTATTGTTGATTTATTGCATGTTTAGAGGATAAATAAAAATCTAGAGCAGGAATTATTTTTACGTGCTATGAAATGTTCAGAATTTCAACATTAACCTTAATTAATTTACCACTGAAGGCAGTAACTTAAAATGATGTCGAATTCACTTTAACCGTTTTAATCTTAATTATTTTAAACGACAATTTAAAAGAAATAAACTACTCATGTAGTTGGGCCTGAATAAAAAAAAATCGATCCTGGAAAGAAAAAACATATAAATACTTAAATTATAGACACGTATTATTGCCACTGATATAATTTCTGGGGCTCACACTACAGCTCCCAAAAATGTTGTTTTCTTTAACATATGCTTTAAAATTTGGATTTTAATTTCTTTTTTTCTTTTTTCTTTTTCGTTCCAGCCAGCGGGGCAGAGAGGGAAGGTTAATCCCACTTTAATAAAGTGACGCACAGAGGTGGGATGATGGCGTTATCTCCCACCAACATTTGGGTCTCCCTCCATCTGTGGGACGCGGAGGCCCGGGGAAAGTGATTATTGAGTCCCACGGCCTCTCAGAAAGCAGCTTTTCATCACCTCAGCTGCTTTTTTTTTAAACATTCTCCATCACCTCCTTTCCCCTCTCCGGGATGCTGCAGCGGAGGGAAAATGAAAGGTGTTTTTGGAAATGGAAAACCGGCCCTATATCCAACCTGCCCCGGAGAGGAGAAGGAAAGAGGCTGTCTATCGTCCTCCTGCAGATGGAGGGGAAAAGCAGAGGCCTGTGTGTGCTGCTGGAAGGCTCTCCGAGGTTCTTTTAGCGCAAAAAGACGCACCGAACCACGTTTAACGCGTTTCGGCTCAAAACACCCGAATCTCCCCAAAAATCCAGGAATTCACCAGTTCAAAATGTGGGGAAAAGGGGGCCCAGATCTGGCGGGGTAGGGAGCCGGGCCTCACACCGAGCGGGGAGCCGCTGGGAGATGAAAGGGAGGAGAAATAAAGGGGCTCCATTTAATCTGCTCTAAAGCGCTTTGAAGAGGACGCGTGCGCCCGGGATTGTGAGAGTGAGAGCTGATAGGGGATCAAATTTATTTCCCACTATGCCTGGGAGCTATTACAACCCTCCGCAACACAAATGCCCATTCACCAGACAGCGCCTCCATTAGCGGCTGTAAGAGGCTCACGGCCCGGATCATCAACGGGAGGGGGGGGGCTTCTACCGGGGCCCCACGACCCACGCAGCCCCTCCGTCTGGGGCACCCTGATTTCAAACACGATGGCTGGGAGTTAGAATACCGTGGGTCACTCTGGTTTGTTTATTTTATGGTTTGGATTTTATTTCTAAATCTGGTTTAAGTCCTCTCCGTTTTCATTTGTTTTAATTTTATTTGATCCAGAATCAGAATCAGAATCAGAAATACTTTAATAATCCCAGAGGGAAATTATTTTTGTTACAGGCTCCATAAGCTAAACAAAGGCATATACATATGTACATGTCTATACATATATACATATATATATATACAAAATTCCTCAT